CCAAATCCATATTTACCAAGCCCATTTATGATAAGATAAACCCATCTAAGGTTATCTATCATAGCTTGTATATTACCAAAATCATTTCTATTGATGAATGGGGTTCTCACCCTTCTTTACTCAGAGAACTTCCCTATCACAGTAGACAGTTTAATTACTATGACTACATTGAGTCATGGTCTAAAATACTACTCTACCAGAATGAGGATTTGTCCCATTCCTGGTTCATTAATTTCCATAAAGATTTCAGAAGCCATATTCCTGCATGGTTTGCACAGTGGTGGCATATACATGGCCCCATTGATGAAATCTTTCCAGCTGATCTTAAAGATCAGATTAATATCTTTTACTCCCTTTACCGTCCTAGTAAACAGGAGTCCCCATTACCTTTATTACTAATATTTTTATGCAGGTACAAAGTCCCGTGGATACTCAAATGGCATTGGGAAATTGTTGGATTCAACTTAACCCGACAATTCTATGCCAAATGGTGGCCCAGGTTTCAGCATAGCGACACTATCGCAATGGTGAGACGAGACTTCCCAGTAAGGGTACCAACTCCAGTAGTAGTCCCAGGCCCCTTACCACCAGCAACTCCAATGAAGGAATTGCCCGCTCATTCAAGCCAGGCTAACCTTCCTACAAAGCAAGTCCAGCCAGAAGAATCCTCATCTAAAGGATCTCTGAAAAAGTCTAGCAAGAAAAAGTCCAAGGCAAAGCTCCTCCAGAAGCTCCTTGAACAGCTTGACTCAGATAGTGAATCATCTTCTCAAAGTTCCTCCTCAGAACTCCCAGCAGGATATGCTCAGGATCCTTTTGAAGGAATTGAGGACTTTGATGCTGATGACCTCACACCTGACCTGGCACTCCCGTGAATTATTATTTACATAAAGTGGCTTCAATCACTACTTTCTTCAATAAAGAAAGAAAAGCTGACCACTCTGTGTAAACATAATATCACCGGTCTGCATAGGATCCCCTTTTCTAAAAGGCAGGATTCTCACAGACAGATCTGCTTTTCCACCGAAAGTAAGATGCCTCTGACAAGTAGGGCCCTCTAGTCCCTTCAGGTTGACTACTTTCCACCAAAAGCAGAGATTCTTCAGACAGCCAGGACCCCTAGTCCACTCTGCCTGTCCTTTTACCCAAGTAAAAGAATCTTATCTTACTTTCCAGCCCAAAAGTAGCCGAAAGTAATGAAAGAAACTTTTAAAGAATTTGAAGACTCAGTTGAAGTCCGGAAGCCCCTTTCTCTATATAAGGCAGCTCCCTCTCTTCATTTGAGGAAAGCTTTGAAAACATCAGACACACTATAGTCTGAGTTTCAGAGATCATTACAAACCCTCTAGTTTTGTAATCATACCTATTACCTGTAAGCCTTCTTCATGATGCAAAAGAAGTGCTTCACCCTTATTACCGCTTATTTCCACTAGACCATTAGTTCTAGTGTTGTAAGTGTTTATTTCTTTAATTGAATATTTTGCATATTATTCATATCTGTTCCATATTCTTCTATATTCCTCTAAATTCCGCATGTATTCTTATTTGGTATCAGAGCCATTTGACGGCCTGGTGTATTACCTCTGAAATTTCATTTGAGTCATCTAACTCATCTAGAAATCTTTATTTGTTCCATCTTTTAAATTCATCTGTAAGTAGAACACTATACCCAACCTTAGTCCAGTCTATCAAGAGTACGTAAGCCGCACTTATCCCGACCGTAAGTCCCGTGTGAGGCAAAGAGTGGATCGCAGGCGAGAAGTTGAGAAAAAACCAGATTAGGGGGTATGTCTAGTGTTGTCACTTACATATTAATTTAAAATTTGATAACAATTTAGATTTTAAAAATGAGTAGATTATTCAGATCTAATTCTAGAGCTAGTACATCTAGATCTTCAGATTATTCTATGCCACATAGAGTAAATGAGGAAGAATTAGAAATAGAAGAATTAAAAACAGACTGGAAGAAATGGAATATTCCTCCAGTTAAAGAGAAAAATATTTATAGTACAACTTGGGTTCAGAAAACCTTTAGTGAAGAACACCAAGTAAAAACTGTTGAACAGGTTCATCCTCTATATATATATATATATATATATTATATTCGAATATAATATATACATGTATTAACAAATACACATGACTTAAAGTGCATTAAATACGTATTTATATGTATTAACAAACATACATGAATCAAGGTGAATTAAAGATAAGAGATTTTGAATTCAATGACCCTAAAATGGACATTTAATTCTTTTTAACGCACATTTTATTGTATGTACTTTTTGCCAAATAAGTCTAATTAGGTGTACCGGCTTCCAAATAACCCCTTAGAAAATATACCCACACCCAATTTTTTCATTTAATAGTTGGTCGATCCAAGGGCTATGTGCCAATAATTCAGAAGAAATTAATATCTTTTGGGCTTGGGCAAGCATGTCAGGCTAGCCCATCGTGTCATCCAACATAAAATTTCTCTGCCGAGCAACTGGGTGTACCAAGGCCCTGCCGCATGGCAGTCCAGATTGTTCATTGGCTTGGTTCATTATCGGGCCTTGGGCCTTTGACTGACCTTTTAGTGCCACGGAAGATNTGCCGAGCAACTAGGTGTACCAAGGCCCTGCCGCATGGCAGTCCAGATTGTTCATTGGCTTGGTTCATTATCGGGCCTTGGGCCTTTGACTGACCTTTTAGTGCCACGGAAGATCATATGTCATCTTCTCGGTCTACTAGTTTAATTTGTTTTATTTTAGGACTCGTACATCGTGTTATTACCCTAATGTTCTATTTGGTACGATAAAAAAGTAGGAGGATTAAAAGTTGAAAGGATAGAAAGTTGGAGGGATAAATAAAACATCATGTTTGGTAAGGAAGGAAAGTAGGAAAGATGAAAAAGTTGATGGATTAACTTTCCTTCCAACTCACCAAAATTAATCCCTCTAAAATCGAAAGGAAAGTGGATGAAAAATTAATTATTTGTTTTGAAATGTATCTTATTTGTCTATATATCTTTTTATATATACATATATTGTGTATACATTAATTTCATATAAAAATACAAAGATAAAATTTGTATATATATAATATATACATATATATTAAAAAAAATTAAAAATTAAATTAAAAAAAATATTTTTTCCATCTTAACTAAGGGTGAAAATTTTCGACTCAACACGATGACAAGACTCGAACTCGATACGAAAATAAATAGGTCAACTCGTAATTCGACATGACATAATTAGTTAAATGAATTAAATTAGGTTTGACTAATATTTGTTACAAACCCATAATGACTCAACACAAATCTGACACGACACTATTCGATTTGATTCGATTATCACCCCTAATCTTAGCCAACACAAAAAAAAAGAAGTTATTTTTATTTTTCATTCATCTAACCAAACACAAAAGAAGGAAAGTGTATTCTTTTTACTTTCTATCCTTGAAAGATAGAAAAGTGTATTCCTTCTATTTTTCATCCTTCTACTTTCCATCCTCCCTACCAAACGGAGCATAAGTGATAGTCTGATAGAGATAGAGATGAATTATAAATCACTGAATTTGAAACTTGACAACTCCTTAAACGTCAGGCCATAAGATATTTATTTTTCATAAATTCCCTAATTTTAGTGTGGATGATCTACACTTGACTAGATCAAATAAAAAATTAATCAATGTACGCATAAACTAGTCCAAAGACTCCTGACTATAATCCCCAAGAAAATAGATCGTGTTATAGTACAATATCAAGTAGACAAAGACCACCCCAAATTAAATAGCAAATAATGATCAAAATATCACCTTCTTTACTTAAATTTTCTCAGGATTATTATCACATTTTTACGATGAACATAAATTTTGGTTTTGCTTTGATTTTGATTTTTTACAGGACGTGATCTGCTAGACCAACTAGTCATGGACACATGGAACCTACTACCTCGTTCCACTAGAAGATTGATGATTGCAAAGGTATAGTGTCTGGAACGGAGGGCATGCTCGGTCTCGAAAATATACCCCAAGTGTCTTAACGACTCACAGAAGTCTACCCACGCCGAGCAAAGGATAAGAAATGAGTCGACACCCCTCGGTATATTGATGACCAGCGCCTCTATGTGATTTGGCGCTATTGACTTGGTGTAACTCGGTCCTGAGTATGATGACACTAAGGAAATAGTAATGACAAGAGCCGAGGAGACGCTCTCAGTTTATGACCATGTGTAAACTCTCACATCAAGACGACCTTGGGAGACATGTCTACTTGGGAATAATTGAAGGAATGTCTTTTGGAGATTCATACTCGATTGACCAACAGGCGTGGTTTCATCTCCCCAGAAAGTCAAAAAGAACATAAAAGAATATTGCAACCAATCATGTTAAGTGTTCATAAATGTTTAACAAACACTCGGCCCCGAGACTTCGATGATAAATGAATGTTCTTCATAAGCACGTGTTTGTATCTAAAAAACAGTTAACTCTTGGGGAAGCAAAGGCGAAGGACATTAAATGAGCATTAAGTGATCGGCATAAGACAATACGCTGAGTGTTTAATGTCATTAATACAATCTCATATGCTCATGTATTAAGGATCGAGGCGAAACAGATGCTTTGTTTGAGACGTGTCCACCTGATTAGACTAAAGGAAGATTCCAAGTGTCTTTGGTATGGACCAATCGGATGTCCTCTCGCAAACGTGGTGACCTGGATGACCTGGTATGATTTAGCCACTCTCATACAAGGTACAAATATGAGACTAATCCGAGAAGTAAAGGTACACAACTTGAACCCAGCTGGTCCCTTCTCAAAAACTGACTTTAGCATCAAAGTGGAAATGCTGAAGAAACCTTCGACATCCCTTCTAACCTTTCTTTGTGAGAGATAGATCGCCAGACTCAAATAACCCAAAGTCTTTGTTCAAGGGCAAACCAGAGTGCTGCTATCTTGGTATTATACGAGAAATCTCCCGCACATTTTTTTTTACTTTGATTATGGTTTTCAACACAATGAAGGTGCAATGATTTTCCTGGTGGTGTGTGTAGTGACAGTGGTGGTGTCTTCAGGTGTGGCATCATGAATGGCTATGTGAAGGAGTATGCCATGGTGGTGGTGGTGACAATTGTGGTTCTGCAGTTGGTTGGTGGCTCTGTCGTAGTGGAGNTGTGAAGGAGTATGCCATGGTGGTGGTGGTGACAATTGTGGTTCTGCAGTTGGTTGGTGGCTCTGTCGTAGTGGAGCCAATGGTTGAGAGTTGAGGGGACTTGGTGGGGGGTGGTGGAAGCTTAGTGCAAAATAAAGATAGACACCTATATGAAAGAAAATGGGAGGGTATTTTGGTAGTTTTACATTTTCTGCAACAGAAAGTTAGTTTAAAATTTATACAAAAAGCCTCAAGTGAAACTCATAAAAATTGAGAGTGATGATGTACAATTCAGCCTAAGTTCAAGAGGGTTCAGTGTATTTTAACCTTTTTGGTTATCTAAAAGGGTTATATAACCATGAAACAATTCTTTTATAATTCTCTTTTACATAGTTTTTTATGAAACGATGAGAATCTATAGCGTTTCATGTTCCCTCCCTACTGAGTAAATATTTTATGATGTTAATTATCATTGGGACGTGCCCTTAGCATTCAATAGTAAAGTAAAACATGAGCAAAGCGAATCACACAAAAATGTGATAACTATCACATCTGCCCTAGTCTAATAACTTCTTTCATATACTTGTGGGGGTTTCTTTTGTTCATATATTTGTTTATCATTAAACGACAATGTGACGGTAATTACGTGATATATCGTTGTGTTAACACTCTATGTACAATCAAAATAATGAAAAGAGATACTAATAAAACACGTACAACAATGGATTCATGGACCCTTATGATGTAATTTNGTTAACACTCTATGTACAATCAAAATAATGAAAAGAGATACTAATAAAACACATACAACAATGGATTCATGGACCCTTATGATGTAATTTATTATAGCTTTTGGATGATAGGGACAAACCCCCGGCTCAAATGCCTTTGTCACCGCAAAGAAAAATCTCAAACTCCACCCCAGCAAGGAAATAAGTGAGCCTACATCCTTAAAGAATNTTATTATAGCTTTTGGATGATAGGGACAAACCCCCGGCTCAAATGCCTTTGTCACCACAAAGAAAAATCTCAAACTCCACCCCAGCAAGGAAATAAGTGAGCCTACATCCTTATTGAGTTCTAGACTAAGAGTCTCGATTGATACATATCACAAACTCTCTCCAAAAAAGTCGGAGTCCGGTAGTTATTAAAAGGTATATGAAGGGGTTAAACCTCATGATTACACGTGACATGACATTAAATGTGCTCACGTAATATTGACAAGACAAGGCGCGTGATGAAAAATCATTTATTAAGCTTTTTAACCAAGTCGAGCTAATTAGAGGTTCGGCAATGGCAAAAAAAGTTCTATTCTTTTTATGACCAAACTCATCAGTCTGTTCAGCTAAGCAATGAAAGAACTCAGCTTGTATAAAACCGAGTTCGTTAAAGTGTTCAACAAGGCAATTGAAGAGATCGGTTTGTGCCAAACCAAGTCCCTTAATTTGTNGTGACATGACATTAAATGTGCTCACGTAATATTGACAAGACAAGGCGCGTGATGAAGAATCATTTATTAAGCTTTTTAACCAAGTCGAGCTAATTAGAGGTTCGACAATGGCAAAAAAAGTTCTGTTTTTTTTATGACCAAACTCATCAGTCTGTTCAGCTAAGCAATGAAAGAACTCAGCTTGTATCAAACCGAGTTCGTTAAAGTGTTCAACAAGGCAATTGAAGAGATCGGTTTGTGCCAAACCAAGTCCCTTAATTTATTCGGCAAATATCAAGTGTGCTCGGCATTTGATATGACCGAGTTGTTTTAAATAATAAACAGAAGGATAAATATTCTCCTATAACTTAGGCAATCAGATAAGCAAATCAGAGAAATTGAAGATATCAGGCAAAAAGTAATGGAGAAATATCAGCAACTTCCCAATTGAATCACTGAATTGAAGAAATGNATGACCGAGTTGTTTTAAATAATAAACAGAAGGATAAATATTCTCCTATAACTTAGGCAATCAGATAAGCAAATCAGAGAAATTGAAGATATCAGGCAAAAAATAAGGGAGAAATATCAGCAACTTCCCAATTGAATCACTGAATTGAAGAAATGTGTGTCACATTGAATCAAGAATCACGGAAACCCTAAGGGGATGACCATCTATAAAAAGCAAAAGGAGCCAAGAAGAAAGGTACGCTGAACTCTCTTAGTCTTCTTCCATTCGTTTCATTATCTCTACTGACTTAAGCATCGGAGTGCCTTCGATAGAAGCACTTCGATCTTGGGCAATTTGTTCATTTTGCAAGAAGAGGAAGACTGGGAGATCAAGTTCAGAAACACATTAATATTTCAATTCCAGTAGGAGATAATCTCGATTTTTTGCCNCTACTGACTTAAGCATCGGAGTGCCTTCGATCGAAGCACTTCGATCTTGGGCAATTTGTTCATTTTGCAAGAAGAGGAAGACTGAGAGATCAAGTTCAGAAACACATTAATATTTCAATTCCAGTAGGAGATAATCTCGATTTTTTGCCTCTTATAGTATATGTTAGAGTATTTTAAACAAAAGAGTGTTTTTTATGTGAGAACTCAATTCCACATCGACTAAATTTCTAAAAGTACTTGAGTATATATATATACTAGTATTATCTGACATTTGAGTTAAAGTGAGACATTGGGACTCTCACGTGTACAGGTGTGAGACAAGCGGAGGAGATACGAATTTCTATAATTTATATAGCAAACTTTTTTGTATATATATATTTACATATNACTCAATTCCACATCGACTAAATTTCTAAAAGTACTTGAGTATATATATATACTAGTATTATTTGACATTTGAGTTAAAGTGAGACATTGGGACTCTCACGTGTGCAGGTGTGAGACAAGCGAAGGAGATACGGATTTTTATAATTTATATAGCAAACTTTTTTGTATATATATATTTACATATTTCAGTATGGAGATAAATAATCTGAATATCTACTACAATCTCTCTATTACTTAAGTTTCTGGGCAATATTCAAAGATGGCGCGTGAAGTTTCTGCTTTATTTGATTGTACAGATCTGAGTGAAACAACAATCAATAGGTTGGGCTGTTGTATCCTAGGGACGATGCGTTGTTAACTTCTGCGATGTATTTCTTTCATAAATGAGCACGAATAGTCTTAAGAAAACGACATAATCCGCACCTCACCCTACCGTTCACTTTATTTTGGGATTCCATTTTTCTAACAGTGTAGATAGGAGAATTGAAAGAATGAGTCTTGCAGCTTTGGCCTTTGCAGTGTTCATTAAGCTATTGCTAGGTCAATATGTTTGTGGTTGGGTTTGATTAGGTATATGATTACTTATATATGGGCAACATTACGGCCTACGCCTACCAAACTCGATACACATTTCTAAGTTCTGTGCAATGGTGGTCAGTTTTACATATTATAGTAACACAATAAAAAAACTGCAGATCTGTAAGTTAGAGTGGGAAGATAATGAGGCCACCAACATCAGCTCTGCCTGGTCAACATTTAGTTCACCTGAAACAAAAAATCCCACAAGCAATCTCTTTTTTTCTCTCCTGTTTTCTTGAAATTTTTCCCACTTTCCAAACACACTAAAATATCTTCTGTTTCTTCAAAATCTTCTTTCTTTGTAGAAGAAGAAACAGCAGATTTTTTCCATTTTCCAAACTCCACCCAAAGTCTAGTTTCTTCCCAGAATAAACAATTTACAAAGCTTAAGTCAAGACCAGTGCCAAACTTCAAAGCCGTTGCAACCCATTATTTATTGGGTTTGGAACATAGCTAGGATAAAAATAGCAAAGTTTGGTGTGTCTGCTCATCTCCTCTTTCCTTTTTCTCCCACCTTCAACATATCTCCTTTCCTCCAACTCTCACCCTCCTCCCTCTCTTCACCTCTCTCTAATGGAATTACCAGCCAAGGGGCCAGTATCCGGCCACCGGAAACCGCCATATCGAATAGAAACCAAAAACTTGTCCTACAAACTTCAGTTGGGTTTTGAATTTAATTGGGTTTTTTGTTGGAACACACTCAACCAAGCCACCACATACATTTTGAAGGACGTGAATTGTGAAGCTAGGCCTGGGGAGATCACGGCCATAGCCGGTCCAAGCGGAGCCGGAAAAACAACATTGCTAGAAATTCTTGCCGGGAAGATATCATCAAGTAGAGTATCTGGCCAAGTACTCGTGAACAGTCGTCCCATAAACGCTAAACATTTTCGGAGACTGTCTGGTTATGTAAGCCAAGAAGATGCTCTATTCCAATTACTAACTGTTGAAGAGACACTCATGTATAGTGCTCTTCTCAGGCTTCGCGGTGGCCGGAAAGAGGCTGCATATAGAGTGAGAGTGCTGATGAAGGAGCTGGGACTGGACCATGTAGCTGATTCAAGGATAGGTGAAGGATCAAGCCATGGCATTTCTGGGGGCGAAAGGCGAAGGGTCTCCATTGGAGTTGAATTAGTACACGACCCATTGGTCATTTTGATCGATGAACCCACTTCAGGGTTGGATTCAGCATCAGCTCTTGATGTGATCTCACTACTGAAATCAATGGTGGTTCATCAAGGGAAGACAATTGTGTTAACTATTCATCAACCCGGGTTCCGAATCCTGGAACTGTTTGATCGGCTTGTTCTGCTTTCAAATGGTTGTGTCCTTCACAATGGTTCAATGAAACTACTTGAAGATAGGCTTAAGCTTTCTGGCCATTTCATTCCTCGAAACATCAATGTGCTCGAATTCGCCATTGATGTCACCTGCACTTTGGTCATACAAACTTCTGAAACTCTTAACAACCGATTCTTAATCAAAGATCATAGATATGATCATGATTTGAGAATTTTCCAGAACAATGAGATTGGAGAAGACTCTCTCTCCTACCAGAATTCTGTATTCAAGGAGGTTTTAATACTTGGACAGAGATTTTGCAAGAACATATTCAGAACCAAACAACTATTCGCCACAAGAATCATCCAAGCCTTGGTAGCTGGACTAGTACTCGGGTCCATTTTCATGAATGTTGGCAATGATCTAGGTCAGGTGGCTCTACAAACCCAAAGCGGGTTTTTCGCATTTAGTCTCACTTTCTTGTTATCCTCAACAACAGAAGGCCTACCAATTTTCCTGCAAGAGAGAAGAATTTTCATGAGAGAGACTTCAAGAGGAGCATATAGAGTATCTTCTTATGTTATAGCAAACACCCTTGTCTTCCTTCCTTTTCTCTTAATGGTTGGTCTTCTGTACACCACCCCGGTGTACTGGATGGTAGGTCTCAAGCACAACATCTATGCCTTCCTCTACTTTGCCCTGGTGGTTTGGATGGTTGTGTTGATGTCAAATTCTTTTACGGCATGTTTCAGTGCCCTCGTGCCGAACTTCATCATGGGGACTTCTGTCATTGCGGGGTTGATGGGGTCTTTCTTCCTCTTTTCCGGTTACTTTATCATGAAGGAGAACATACCAAATTACTGGATTTTCATGCATTACTTGAGTCTGTTCAAGTACCCTTTTGAATGTTTCATGATCAATGAGTATGGAGGGGACGAAGGTAGGAGGAGATGTTTAGAAAGTGAAGGAGCTGAATGCAAGTTATATGGGGCTGGGTTTTTGAAGCAGCAGGGGTTTATAGAGTCACAGAAATGGAGCAATTTAGCTGTTATGTTGGGTTTCATCATAGGATATAGAGTTCTTTGTTTTCTGATTTTATGGTGCAGAGGCAACAGAACCAGAAATTAGTACGATCGGTTTTTTTTTTCATTTACGGTTTTTTTTTTCTCTGATTTGGTGGCCGAAGTGATGGAATATACAGAAAGAAGAATTATTCATTCTTTCATGAATATGTATAACAATATTTTTGCATTACGAATCTAGAATTATGACAGGTGCCTATTCACTGAAATACCAACTCGAGATTTCCAATCCGAGAATCAACCTCCCTAATGGGAGTAAGATTGTCTATTACTTACGTTTCTTAGACCTCGCTGTAGCTTAGAGCCTGCAATGATTTTGTGCTAATACAGGTGATATTTTCGATCAGAAGTATGAGATACACAACAAATTCATATTGCACAATCACAAAACTCATTCACTTATTTATAAACGACTGCAAATGACCACAAACTGGCTTATATGCTAATATATGAACTAAGCTTTCCAATATTTCTTCCTCTAGTAAGTTTCGTAGTAGTTCAGGGGAGTGGGGAGTGCACGTAGTGAGCTCTATGGACGTACAAAAACCATCGTTTTTGCAAGCTCTATTGCGTTCTTCCGCCCGAACAGCTTCTCTGTGATTGCCAGTGCAAACTCCATGGCTGTTCCTGGTCCTCTGCTAGTGATGAGATTGCCATCAACCACAACCCTGTTCTCTGCCTCACTTGGATCTGACAGCTTGTTGCACATTGCAGGAAAGGCTGTGGCCTTTTTGCCCTAAACCCAGAGCAAAACATTTTGTCAATTCGGAAAAATATTAAACTAAGAACAAACAAAATATATCACTCTCATACATAACTATTGGGTACATTTGATATGAAAATAAGGCATGGTCAATACCTTGAGTAACCCGTGTGGCTCCAGGACTAAAGCTGGTGATGCACATATTGCTCCATAGGGTCTATTTGATTCCCTTTGCTTCTTTAGCAAATTTACGAGTTTTACTGAGCTTGCAAATGCTTGGGCGCCACCAAGTCCACCCTGCAGATATATAGAATGTGATTATGACCAAAAGTTAGATAATGTCCTCTTTGGTTAGTCACGACTACTAATGAAGATAAAAGAACCTCACTTACAGGCAAAACAATAAGATCGTATGGACGTTTGGCAGCCTCATCAAGTAGCATATCTGCCACTAGTTTTACTTTTCGAGAAGCCACAATTTCTAGTTCATCTCCAACAGATGCCACTACAACTTTGGCTTGAGCTCGTCGCAGTACATCAATGATAATAATAGCTTCCATCTCCTCCGTTCCATTAGCAATTGGTACAAGAATCTAGNCTTTGTTTTCTGATTTTATGGTGCAGAGGCAACAGAACCAGAAATTAGTACGATCGTTTTTTTTTTTTTCATTTACGGTTTTTTTTTTCTCTGATTTGGTGGCCGAAGTGATGGAATATACAGAAAGAAGAATTATTCATTCGTTCATGAATATGTATAACAATATTTTTGCATTACGAATCTAGAATTATGACAGGGGNTTCTCTGATTTGGTGGCCGAAGTGATGGAATATACAGAAAGAAGAATTATTCATTCTTTCATGAATATGTATAACAATATTTTTGCATTACGAATCTAGAATTATGACAGGTGNCTCTGCTAACTTTCAGATGCCAATTCTCATGTCAAATGAACAAAAAGGAATGCATATGTACACAGACATACCTTTGATCATTATCATAAAATAATACCACAAGGACATTTGAAAACAAGAAGTCAAGTCTCCAAAGTTAGGGCACTAGCAAACAATGTATTGGCCCAANGGCCTATTCACTGAAATACCAACTCGAGATTTCCAATCCGAGAATCAACCTCCCTAATGGGAGTAAGATTGTCTATTACTTATGTTTCTTAGACCTCGCTGTAGCTTAGAGCCTGCAATGATTTTGTGCTAATACAGGTGATATTTTCGATCAGAAGTATGAGATACACAACAAATTCATATTGCACAATCACAAAACTCATTCACTTATTTATAAACGACTGCAAATGACCACAAACTGGCTTATATGCTAATATATGAACTAAGCTTTCCAATATTTCTTCCTCTAGTAAGTTTCGTAGTAGTTCAGGGGAGTGGGGAGTGCACGTAGTGAGCTCTATGGACGTACAAAAACCATCGTTTTTGCAAGCTCTATTGCGTTCTTCCGCCCGAACAGCTTCTCTGTGATTGCCAGTGCAAACTCCATGGCTGTTCCTGGTCCTCTGCTAGTGATGAGATTGCCATCAACCACAACCCTGTTCTCTGCCTCACTTGGATCTGACAGCTTGTTGCACATTGCAGGAAAGGCTGTGGCCTTTTTGCCCTAAACCCAGAGCAAAACATTTTGTCAATTCGGAAAAATATTAAACTAAGAACAAACAAAATATATCACTCTCATACATAACTATTGGGTACATTTGATATGAAAATAAGGCATGGTCAATACCTTGAGTAACCCGTGTGGCTCCAGGACTAAAGCTGGTGATGCACATATTGCTCCATAGGGTCTATTTGATTCCCTTTGCTTCTTTAGCAAATTTACGAGTTTTACTGAGCTTGCAAATGCTTGGGCGCCACCAAGTCCACCCTGCAGATATATAGAATGTGATTATGACCAAAAGTTAGATAATGTCCTCTTTGGTTAGTCACGACTACTAATGAAGATAAAAGAACCTCACTTACAGGCAAAACAATAAGATCGTATGGACGTTTGGCAGCCTCATCAAGTAGCATATCTGCCACTAGTTTTACTTTTCGAGAAGCCACAATTTCTAGTTCATCTCCAACAGATGCCACTACAACTTTGGCTTGAGCTCGTCGCAGTACATCAATGATAATAATAGCTTCCATCTCCTCCGTTCCATTAGCAATTGGTACAAGAATCTAGAAGGGAAACAAAATCACATTTTTATAATTTAGGCAATATTATGCGTTTCAACAAGAATGGAGAATTAAGTTCAGAAATAATAATTTTCAATAAGAAATGAATTATCTCCATTGTTGCTTCAAAGAGATCGTGGCAGTAGATTGCAGTGGGGGAGTGGCAGGCAGGATGAGGGCCTCAGGAATTATTAGTTATAGTAATATATAATATGCATATGCTTTTCTCTGTTTTCATTTTTCCCTATTTCATTTTGGGATTTTCTGGTGTCAAGGACACAGATAAGATTGCTTCTCATTACACCCTCTGCTAACTTTCAGATGCCAATTCTCATGTCAAATGAACAAAAAGGAATGCATATGTACACAGACATACCTTTGATCATTATCATAAAATAATACCACAAGGATATTTGAAAACAAGAAGTCAAGTCTCCAAAGTTAGGGCACTAGCAAACAATGTATTGGCCCAAAAATAGAGTTAACATATGAAGCCAAGATGCGAAGCCAACCCCAACTCATTAATAGTTAAATTCAAGGCTTTGCTAACCAGGATTGAAAATGAAAACACTAGGTATCTATTGACTGATAAAATATGAGTTCTGGTGAAACACATGGGGCAAATAGGTTAATACAATTCTAAGATTGAACAAACACCAATTTTAAATATAACCCACCACAATGACATTTTCTCAAATTAGTTAAGCAATTAAGTGAGAAGAACCCCTTTTCTTCATGAACAACCTATTATGAGTGTAAGTGAATGAATATGCCATCAACAACCAACCAATCCTTAGCTCCTTTAATCCCAACCAAAGCCACAATCACTAAAACCACTTTTAATGAATTGAAAGATAAGCAATCAACCATCAAACACATGGTGCGCATGTGCGCAATTGCAAATGTATAAGCAAATTTAAAGCAATAAGAAATACATGCAATTTGTTGACATGGAAACTCAAATAGGAAATACCGCGGAGAACCACTCAGGGTTTACCAAAACCTAATCCACTATCTCAAGGTCAATCTACAAATACTCAAATCTTATACTTCAACCAATACCCCTGTTAGATGCTCCCTTCTTTCAATAGATCTCTTTACCAAAAGTCCCTCTCTTCGATGTTATGGATAGTTTCACTTAAACGCTTCCACTACAATAAATAGTTTAGGCCTTGAGCAATTTATCCACCATGTTTCTTGGAATGTATACTTCTTCAAATNTAGATCTCTTTACCAAAAGTCCCTCTCTTCGATGTTATGGATAGTTTCACTTAAACTCTTCCACTACAATAAATAGTTTAGGCCTTGAGCAATTTATCCACCATGTTTCTTGGAATGTATACTTCTTCAAAGTGGGTTTTGGTGAATCTCCAAACAATGTGTTCTTCTCCAATGTAAGAATTTGGATTAGAGTCTCAAGATGAATTGCCTTTCGATTTAGTTTCTAGGATTGTTCAAGGATTTCTTAAGGTATGAGAGGCTGAATTTTGACTCACAAAAGAGATTTTCAGAGATACCCTAGCTCTAGAAGGTTTCCCCTATTTATAGGCTCAGAATTACATCAAGCTTAGAGGCTAAGTAAACCAAAATTTGCAAACAACAACTCGAGCAAGGAAGGAGAGTGGTGAAAGTGTAGTTGTCAATGGAATGAAAAAAGGATCCAAACCATGGTAGAGTAGAGACCACTCTAACTGAACGCAAGAGAGTAGAGGGTGGTCCCAACTGGTTTTTAAGTCGAAGACCAAGCAAAAATTTCTCATTTTGGAACTAAAGGGTTTTCCTCAAGTAGGGTCCAACAAATGATTCAAACTCTTTTCAAAATACATTGAAGGTTTAAAAAACATTTTCAATAAAAACCTTATGAGTCATTTCCGAAAAATGTCTCAATTCTATTTTATTCACCTTAATTATCATAAGTCTAAAATTAAACCAAGCGATCTAGGTCTCTAAGGTCATTACCTTTGTCCTAAGCTTGAAGGTACATCAGAGTGATCTTAATATGACATTGTAGCCTGATCTCCTTCCCTTTCTTTTTCACTTACATATCTTGATCTTTGAAACTTAATGACCTTGGAATTAGGTTGAGATTACATAAGAGTCCTTCACGAAATTAGTCAATTATAAGCATAATCCTAACAAACCAAGTTCACGTTGTCCTTCCAGCATTTATCAACTGGTATACATTAAATTAGATACCCACAAGCATTGCTTAGGCTATGAACTACAACCATAACAATTACAAACTCCCCACACACAAGCCAACCCTGCCCCATCCCCCCCAAAAAAAAAAAAAAACCCGGCACACCCACAAAAAATTTGAGAAGGGTTTGTTCGACCTTTCAAGAACACATGAGTTGGCATGAAACTCCCTCAAGTTGAAAATTGACGTAATTGAACAACTGCAGCTGTACTCATTGAGTGGAGATATTATGGAAATGAAATGCTAGGGCAAAGTCATACTTTGTAAGCTGCACATAGACACCAAGTCACTCAAATGAACATAGTTCACAATACAGTGCGTTGCATAGCGAACGATATCAAGACTACAACTAGGATTATGTCTGAGAGATTACAACCAAAATATGTAACAGCCCCATGAAACATTTCTTTGGTTGTCATTCATGGATAACTAACATGCGTCCCATGTGCAGAATACCAACTTAATGCATCTGCCACTTTCATGTCTAATTCTAATGGCACATATGTTTGGGTATAAACACCTGGTACTCTATTGCAAGTTAATTAACTGTAAGAAAATCTGGAAAGAAGAAAAATCTAAATATGAGGCAAGTTCATCTGCTCTGCCCAAGTGTGTGCAAGAACACGTAATGAAGAGAAAAACAGGGAGTATAGTTGTAGTATTTCCTCCTGGGGTGAGGATCAACATAGAAAGCAACCAGCAGTGATCTGAATCATGAAAGTCCTGAAAAGTTACACATGATACCCTAAAGATATAATCTCAACCCAAATCTCACCTGAGGGCAATCATCAAATGTCCACTCCATTGAATTTAGCTCAACAATAGTATATTCATCCCCATGATTGGAACGCATAACCTGACCGAAAGACAACAAGGTGTTATAATCCTCTTATGTTAGAACTTACAGAGAGAGGTACACATCCTTAAAGCAAAGGCCTGAAGTTATGCCCAATAAACAAGTAGACAAGGAAGTACCATCAACAATATGATTTTCAAGTACTGGACAGTTGTGAAGGGCAAATGCCTAGGTTGTATTTCAAGGTTGGAAACCTTTGCTGCAGATTTGATCTACTAAGCATTTAAAAAATTTAAATCAAATAATTACAGGATTTGATTTTTTTACCAGTTGTTTTTCTTCAAAGCACCTCTTTGGCAGTACACCACATCACATTCCTAGACATCATCTTTTTAACATATTGCATTCATCTCATTTTTTCTTAAATTACAAAATGCATCGCCATCTCTTTTTGAATTCAAGACATCTAGTTCTAGGTCAGCAAATCTTACTCAATCTACGATGTATGCATTATAAACGTATACTTGCATGATATAGCCATCCTTAAAGGACTTATCACATCCCAACATGAAACTTGCACTTAGTCATCTGTATGCAACTTGCATCAAAAAAGAAATTACAAAAGAAAGACACATGCCAGAGGCCCAGAAACTTCATCAGCTTTCTCTTTCCCGAATAATTGCTCAACCAGTGCAACAGAAAACTCCATGGCAGTACCAGGTCCACGACTTGTCACAACATTGCCATCAGGCTGAACTATTGATTCCACTGCAGTTGCAGAAGATGACAACTGCTCCATAAATGAAGGATAACAAGTTGCCTGTCAAAAAGGTACCTCTCAGTAAATACAGAACTGGTCATCAGCAAAAAAATTCAACTTTTCTAAGCCCTTTAATTAAAATTTAATTGAATAATAAGCACAAAAAATTACTACTTTCAACCCCTTCAGCAGGCCCCATGACCCAAGTGCAACAGCAGGAGCTGCACAAATTGCAGCATAGAGCTGTCCATCTGCAGCCTGTTTTTTCACCATGCTTTCCAAAGTTTTACAGTCTCTAAGAGTGGCTGCACCAGGCATTCCTCCCTGTACCAATTCATTCAGAAATCAGATGACAATTTTTTATAAACAGAATAGATCACAGTAAGCAAAGAAGAATACAAGGAACTGGTTGGCTTGACTTCAGGTAACTAGATGAGATCAATACATTCTGCAGTGTCTGAGATGAACTGTCCCATTATGACTTTCCTAACTACCAATTCAATTGCATAATTAAATACAATTCCCAAAAAAGTTACAAGAGAAACTGATACAAAGAAGAAAAATACTAGTTTGGTGACAAGGCCAACAACTCACTCAACAGACTGAGAAATTAAGCATTATGTTACTATATAATATAAGCTGCAGTTGATTATCGAAATTTTTTATTGGGAAAGCACTTATTTGTACTTGTGTGGCACAAACAACAAGAAACTCAATTAATTCAAACATTAAGCTATCAACAAGAAGTTTTACTGTAGGAAAGCAGCAAAGTTTTCTCATGGAAATGTCCTTCCTGTGTTCTGCAGTAATAGTTCTATTTGTTGGGAAAGAAGAGAAGTTTCATTTGATCAACTATGATGACACAAACTGAACTAAAGAATATGAAGCCAGAAGAATTAGGTAAAACAATGTTTATAATGATGTACAATTCCATAACTCAAATCTCCAAACGGAAAACAAAATTAGGCAAACAGCTTTTAGTTCACCTAGATTAGTAAACCAACTTCGAGTTTAGACTTCCAGCACTGTAACGTATATAAATATAGTTTTATGAACATTGCCTCATTGACATTTTAACAAGTTGTCCAAGGGAACTGATTAACAAGCGCGCGAAGTACACACCATCAAGCACAGATGAATTAAGCCATGGAAACTGTTTTTTCCGCGATTTAGTAGTGAAACTTCCAGGAAAAAAAATTCTAACAGTTCATCTAAGCAATTCAATAACCACCCCAAAAAGAATCCACCAACCAAATTACAAACATTACCGCATGAAAAAAGGCATATCCACTAAAGAGTGTGTGTGTGTGTAGAGAGTGAAGTAGAGAGAGCATACAGGTAGAGAGATGAGGTCAAAGACACTATCAGCACAGTCAGCAATTAGGGCATCGGCAACGATCTTCACTCCATGACACGCATCAACTTGAAGCTGCTTCTCCACAGAAGCCACCGTAACATCAGCACCAGCTCTTCGCAGTACATCGATAGTAATCACCGCCTCCATCGGCTCCGTCCCATTCGCAATCGGAACCAAAACCTGTAATTTCCAGTTTTCAAACACCACCAAAAATCAAATGACCTCCATTACAAAATCAAAATCGAAGCAGAAGCTATTCAGGTGGAGACTGGTTTTGAATTCTTTACCTTTTTGACAGCGGAAGCCATGACTGAGTAGAAGGTTTTTTTGGAAGAAGTGGGGAGAGAGGGAAATAAGAGTGATGGTCTGTGCGTTGGTGGCGTGAGGGTTATACGAGGAGATAGAGGGGTGAGGTGGCGTAAAGTTAGTGCCATTTTTTATTGAGATTGTGTGCCAGTGTAAAGGAATGGAGGTCTCTGGAGAAATCACAAGGGGCTGTTTGGTAACTGGATATGAGGTTGGATAATATGATTTTTGAAAAAATAGTTGAATGACTCCCAAAAACTCAAAAAAAAAGGATGGAGTTTTCAAGCCAAGAATAGGAATCTCGGTTTGTAGTTGGTCTGACACTCTAAACCTTTGAATATGATTTTTATCAAATCTATAGGAGGGGGTTTTTGATCAAATAATACTCACATTATTAAAATANTTGGTCTGACACTCTAAACCTTTGAATATGATTTTTATCAAATCTATAGGAGGGGGGTTTTGATCAAATTATACTTACATTAGGAAAACANCAAGAATAGGAATCTCGGTTTGTAGTTGGTCTGACACTCTAAACCTTTGAATATGATTTTTATCAAATCTATAGGAGGGGGTTTTTGATCAAATAATACTCACATTATTAAAACAAATATCATTTGTACTCTTACGTTAAACAAACATGAATATAAATAAAATTAACTAATGGGTAATATAGTTATTTGTAAGACAAATATATGACAATAATGGGGATACATCCGTAGGTGCCGCATGTATATAAGTTACATGTCAAACATAGGTATGGATTGAACTTGTTAATGAATCTCATGAAAACAAATGTAGGGGTTGGGTNTATAAATAAAATTAACTAATGGGTAATATAGTTATTTGTAAGACAAATATATGACATTAATGGGGATACATCCGTAGGTGCCGCATGTATATAAGTTACATATCAAACATAGGTATGGATTGAACTTGTTAATGAATCTCATGAAAACAAATGTAGGGGTTGGATTTAGAAAGGTTTGGAGAAACCAATCAAATCCCTCCCTCAAAAATCATCCAAACAATCCAAAAAAGAATGATCAAACTAGTGTGAGACGGGTTTGTGTTTGACTTTATCAAGCTCATGTAACAAAATATTGTAATTTATTTATTAATTCTTGTTTCACAAATCGTGTTACATCGAATTTATTAATTTATGTCTAACGAATTGTGTTATATCGAATTTATATTATATATTAATTATATATAATTAGTATATAAATAAGTCGTATCATTTTTTTTTTGTTTCGTTTATTAATTATTTCATGTTGGGTCCACCTGTTTATGAAACACGTGACTTTAAAAAAACTCAAACCCTCTAACTTTATATGGTATATTACACCCATAAATTTGAGATAGTTAGTGTGGTATGAATCATGCAGTTGGACTGAAAAACAAAAGATTAATCACAAATTACACCTTAAAAGATCGTTTGAATCTTAATTTACACCATCAAATATCAAAAATCTCAATTTATACTCTTAAAGATAAAAATTTGTATTAATGCACACCTGAAACTAATTTTACTATCTAAACCTAAATGAATAAATTACACTAAACCCCTCATACTTGTTATTTAATCACCTAGAGCCCTCACATTTCAAATATTACTCATGCAGCCTTTAAGAATCCAAATATGACTAAAAATGTTCTCTCAATTTGGCATCCAAATAATTCTGTTCAAGTGATGTATTATATTGGATATAAAGAATATTATAAAAATACTTACATTATATTGGGCATTCAAATGGCAAGCTTGGTTTTCAACTTTATTATATAACGGACTCACAAAATAAAGAGTAATATGAAAATTATAATTTTTATTAGGATAAAATCATGTTTTTAATGGTTATTAATGATGTATAAAATAGACTATGCACAATCAAATCAATCGATTGTGTGATGTAGGGTAATTAATGAAGCAATTAATAGTAAAAGACAAAGATGGAGTGGTTGGGCCAAGGTAACCTAACCACTGAAGGCAGCGGCAATAATCGAAGAACTTTATTATTAAGGGAATAAAATAGTACGTGGAAAAGAGAGAGAGAGTAAGAGTAAGCTCAAGATGTGTGTGTAAGAGATAGAACTATATGTCCATCATGTTTAGAGAGCTTACAATTTATAGGCGATGAGCCCTAGTTAGGGCGGTGGCGTGAAGGTCAGGCTACTAGTCTTTCAGGGATGATAGCTACAATTAAGGATATGTATAATTAAGGATTGGCGTGATCTTCGAGTAATGGCTATCCTGATGATTGCTCCCCACATGCGTTGATCTTCTTAGGTCTCTTGGAATTTGGGCTGGACTGAGGCCATTNCACCTGTTTATGAAACACGTGACTTTAAAAAAACTCAAACCCTCTAACTTTATATCGTATATTACACCCATAAATTTGAGATAGTTAGTGTGGTATGAATCATGCAATTGGACTAAAAAACAAAAGATTAATCACAAATTACATCTTAAAAGATTGTTTGAATCTTAATTTATACCATCAAATATCAAAAATCTCAATTTATACTCTTAAAGATAAAAATTTGAATTAATGCACACCTGAAACTAATTTTACTGTCTAAACCTAAATGAATAAATTACACTAAACCCCTCATACTTGTTATTTAATCACCTAGACCCCTCACATTTCAAATATTACTCATGCAGCCTTTAAGAATCCAAATATGACTAAAAATGTTCCCNCCCCTCACATTTCAAATATTACTCATGCAGCCTTTAAGAATCCAAATATGACTAAAAATGTTCCCTCAATTTGGCATCCAAATAATTCTGTTCAAGTGATGTATTATATTGGATATAAAGAATATTATAAAAATACTTACATTATATTGGACATTCAAATGGTAAGCTTGGTTTTCAACTTTATTATATAACGGACTCACAAAATAAAGGGTAATATGAAAATTACAATTTTTATTAGGATAAAATCATGCTTTTTAATGGTTATTAATGATGTATAAAATAGACTATGCATAATCAAATCAATCGATTGTGTGATGTAGGGTAATTAATGAAGCAATTAATAGTAAAAGACAAAGATGGAGTGGTTGGGCCAAGGTAACCTAACCACTGAAGGCGGCAGCGATAATCGAAGAACTTTATTATTAAGGGAATAAAATAGTACGTGGAAAAGAGAGAGAGAGAGAGAAAGAGAGTAAGAGTAAGCTCAAGATGTGGTGTGTGAGAGATAGAACTATATGTCCATCATGTTTAGAGAGCTTATAATTTATAGTCGATGAGCCCTAGTTAGGGCGGTGGCGTGAAGGTCAGGCTACTAGTCTTTCGGGGATGATAGCTACAATTAAGGATATGTATAATTAAGGATTGGCGTGATCTTCGAGTAGTGGCTATCCTGATGATTGCTCCCCACATGCGTTGATCTTCTTAGGTCTCTTGGAATTTGGGCTGGACTGAGGCCATTAGTTGTGCTTGACCTACTTTAATAACTAATTGGGCCTAACTCACTAATCGGGCATGAGCCCAACTAGATCTGGGCTTGTCATTTGGCCCCCATGCTCCAAGCCATTGCGATGACAAGAGATTGAGGGCATAAGTGAGCTCTTCTTCTAGGTAGACTAGCTACCTTGTTCTCCACGTTAGCTTCTTCAATTTTTCATCTTTTTGCCCCTTCGAATCTCACTTCTTCATTTTCTTTGTTTCGTTACTGAACACCAATTATGCTATCATCAGGTTAGAGGGGATTTCACATTAAAAGCCCCTTCCTCTTAGGGCATCTTCCTTAGGATTTCACGAGGTCAATATATATATAGATCTAGGAATCAACCATTCACCTTCCTTTTTTTCCCAACCCCTTGGATTGGGCTAAACACTTCTCATCTCTTCATTCTCATAGATTGCAGATAGGGGTGTACTAGATCATAGAGACCAGGAGAGGATTAACGAAGGCTGGCGACAGCACCTCAAGATCAGGGGCAAGACCAAGAGGCGATGTGGTGAACCCAGGTGCTCACGACGCCTTGGCAAAGCCCTGGGTGACACCAAGCATAGAGGGCAGTAGAGGTGGCGCTATCCTTCATCAAGGTGACGGGGGGGTGACACCATGGGAGTAAATGGTGCCCTTGGTGCTGACGGAGGAAACCCAAGTGACATTGGCAAGCTGGGCAATAGCATCGGCAGAAGAAAACTAGGCGTCAGGTGCACAAGCGAAGCCAAAGGTGGCATGGGCAATGCCAGGTACACGGGCAACGTCGGAGGTAGCGCTGGTAATGTTAGAAGCGGCCTGGGCGGCGCCAGGGGCTTGGGTGATGTCAGAGGGAACGCAGACGGCACCAGAGGTGGCCTAGGCAGCGTTAAGGGCTTGGGTGATGCTAGTGGACAACGTCAGGGGTGCAGAGTGCGACATTAGGGCAACGCACGTTGACACTGGAGCTGGCGAACTACTGAGCAGCGATTCTAGTGTGTCGAATAGCGGAGGTATGTCCTAGGCTTTGCCCGGGAAGAAGAATGCCACACCTTTCAATTGGGTAAGGAGATTTTATTCGCCATTTTATTCTTTACTCATCTTGATATTTACTTGACATTGGCTCTAACCTTGGTAGGCGCCCATTCTAACGGAGGCATGATAATGAGGAATAATACAACAGATTCCCCGTGAGGCAAGGGTACCATTGAGAGTGATGACTTGAAGGTAACCTCTATCTTCAGTTCCATAGAATATGATGATGACATTACCTGTATTGTATCTTCATTCCATATTCCTCCTGCCATTACGTGGCGCCGGACCGAGAAGGACGAGTCAGCATGTTATGACTCCTTAGGAGAGATCATTTTCTATGAGGATATCTTGGAGGCAAGATTGAGGTTTCCCAGACCTGGGCCCATCTGTTGGATTCTAGGTTACTTGTCGCTTACCCCGAGGAGGTTGACCCCGAATAATTGGAAGGTAATCTTGGCATTCTTTTCATTATAGAGGTTGGTTCATGGTAAGGGTGTTTCTCCCCCTTTTGAGGAGTTCTTGGCTTCGTACGTGCTTCTGGATAATCCTACTCCTCATCAAGGATGGTACCGCTTTGCTCCAAGGTCCGATAAGTTTATTATTGGACTACCTTCAAATTGCCACAGTTCAAAATCTAAGTGTTTCTCTGTTGGAGGTGAGTGGAATTCTGAGGAAGACTACGACTTAGTGCCCTCGAGGTGGGATACTCTTATAAAGACCAAGCTAGGTGTAAGTTTTCCCCTTGCTTTCACACCTGATTTTCATATTCATCTTGTACTTACCGCATGTTCGGTTCCTTTGCAATTCCACCTGTGTTATCTACGGATCAGGAGAATAGGCTCTAGGCTATGAGGGATTATCCTACCAAGCAATTCACATCTTTTACGTCTACGTCGAGTCATTCCAAAGCCTCCCCTATGCAGAAGATAAAAGGTATTTAATCCTTTCAACAAACTTTGATAACTATAAATTCTTCTTCTTACGCAAGTTCCACAGGTGATACTACTGATAGAGCGACGATGTAGGCTCTTTATGCTTCTAGGGTAGCATCTTCTCCTCCTCTCAAGAGGGCGAGGCTTGATGCCCCCTGTGAGGGATCGACCTCCCCATTACTGGGGATATACCTCCCTCCAAGAGCAGTCCTCCCCATTACCGGGGATATCCCGCTCTCCAAGAAAGGATTTCGGCTGACCTGCGGGGCAAACCCCCACAGTAGCCTTTACCTCTGTCCCACATCGGGGAAAGAGTCGTCTCCCCACCCCCATATAAGCCGAAGCACCATATGAGAGCAGTACCCAAGTACCACAGTGTGCTACTTGGGTACTGCTCTCATATGGTGCTTCGGCTTATATGGGGGTGGGGAGACGACTCTTTCCCCGATGTGGGACAGAGGTAAAGGCTACTGTGGGGGTTTGCCCCGCAGGTCAGCCGAAATCCTTTCTTGGAGAGCGGGATATCCCCGGTAATGGGGAGGACTGCTCTTGGAGGGAGGTATATCCCCAGTAATGGGGAGGTCGATCCCTCACACCCCCACTACTTCTTGATCGCGATTCAAGGGCTAGGTTGCTTCCCGGGAGGCGGGATCTAGGGGTGACCCCACTCTTTCTCAGCATGCAGTCCCTTCGAGCGCTAGGGTTGGNAGTGACGATGTAGGCTCTTTATGCTTCTAGGGTAGCATCTTCTCCTCCTCTCAAGAGGGCGAGGCTTGATGCCCCCACTACTTCTCGATCGCGATTCAAGGGCTAGGTTGCTTCCCGGGAGGCAGGATCTAGGGGTGACCCCACTCTTTCTCAGCATGCAGTCCCTTCAAGCGCTAGGGTTGGCCTTTCTACTACTTTAGGAGTTGAGACTCTTGTGCGGTCCGCCACAGGAACCGAAGCTCCATGTAGTTGCCCTACTTCCAATAGTGGCTCGATGTCCTTGCTGTAGGATGTGATTTTGGCCAAAGAGTGGCTTTGGAACTTTATGACAACTGCGGATATTAGAAAGGTGGGCTCTTGAGGTCCATATGGCATCATGCATACTGCGATGGAGGGATTTGCCATGGTATGCCTTTTTTTAATTCAAACTTGATTTTTGCACTTGTCTCTTTTTTTATGTTCTACCTTTTGGATGCTTGTAGGTGGTTGTTGCCTTTCTTTGCCTATTTTCGAAGACAATCAAGCTTGGTGAGGCATCAAGGGCTCTAGCAAAAGAGAGATAGGTACGCAAGGCTGCTGAGGAGCAGTTGAGGCTGGCTCATTAGAGAGTTATGCCTCTAGAGGTCGAGCTTGCGGCGTTCTATGAGAGGGCCGCGAAGCTGGAGTTTGATAGGGAGACTACTACGCGAGAGCAAACCCAGAGCTACAAGCGCCTTATGAGAGGGCCGCAAGAGCTGAGGCCAAGCTACGAATAGCTCAGGAGAGGGCTGACGTGACAGGGACTAACCTACAAGTAGCTTGTGAGAGAACCACCAGGGCAGAGACTCATTCTATTGAGATGAAAAGTAAGTGGGAGGCTACAGAGAGGGTTGTTGCTGGTGCTTTTATCAACGGCTATGAGGAGTTTAGGGGAAAGGCCTTAACAGCTTTCCCTACTATTGATTTTTTTTTTGGCTTCATCCCATATGTGGCACCAGGGACTGATGGTGACAGGGAGAGCTTTGATGAGAGTGGATCAGGTAGTAGTGAGTGATGTCGGGAGTATGATGACTCTTATCTTTATTTGTCTACCTTTCTGTTGTTTGGCCATGTTATGACTTTTGTAAGTTGTTTACAAACTTCTATGTAATGAAAGATAGTTATAGACAAAATAACTCTTGCTAAGTTTTATTTCATAATTTAGAGTAACTAATAACAAAAGAGATTGACTAGAGCAACAAAAGACAAATGAAATGATAGTCACTACCTTATNAAGAGATTGACTAGAGCAACAAAAGACAAAATAAATGATAGTCACTACCTTATACCCCGCTATTGATAATACTCTTCAGGTGTTCAGCGTTCAATGGATGGGGCAAGGCTTTTCCTTTAGAGTTTTGAATTCAATAGGTGTCTGACCTTACAACTTCTGTCACCATGTAAGGTCCTTCCCAATTAGGACCTAACTTTCCTTCTCGAGAATCCTTGGTAGATATGATTACTTTTTTGAGGACTAGGTTCCCTAGCAAGAAGGAGCGAGACTTTCCCCTCGAGTTGTAGTACTTGGTCATGCGGTGCTTGTACACCATACTTCTGAGCATAGTCATCTCCCTCTCCTCCTCTACCAAGTTGATGTTGATGCGGATGCCTTCTTCATTAATAATTGGGTCATGGTATTGGACCCTAAGGGAGTGTACCCCAATCTCGACTAGTGCAACTGCCTCTGTCCTATATGCTAAGAAGAATGAGGTTTCACTCGTAGGGCTTCTTGGGGTTTTCTGATAAACCCACAGTATTCCTGGGAGCTCATCCATCCACCGCCCCTTGGCGCTTTCCAGTTTGGTCTTCAAGTTACAGAGGATTGTTTTGATGGTGATCTCTACCTACCCGTTCACTTGTGGATAGGCTAGGCTGGAGTAGGGTTGCTTGATCTGTAGGTCTGCACAAAAGTCATTAAGAAGTTTGTTGTCAAACTACTTAGCATTATCACTTATTGTTGCTTGAGGTACTTCGAAACGGCATATTATACTCTTCCAAATGAAATTCTTCACTTTTTGTTCCGTTATTCTGGCCAAAGACTCAATTTTTGCCCACTTTGTGAAGTAGTCAATGGCTACTACCACAAATTTGCACTGGCTCCGACTCATGGTTAGGGTGCCTAAAATGTCGATCCCCCACTTAGAGAAGGGCCAAGAGCTTATGATGGTGGTAAGTTCTTCTGGTAGTTGCCTTGGCACTGTCACAAAACATTGGCACTTGTCACACTTTTTTTTTGAATTTTCAGGCGTCTTTAATCATGCTAGACTAGTAGTGACCTTGTCTCACTACCTTGTGATCCAGTGCATTCCCTCCTGAGTGGTTTCTACATATCCTCTCGTGGATTTCTCTTATAACATAATTGGACTCCTCAAGAAAGAAGCAACATAGTAGGGGCAGTGAGTAGCTTCTCTTAGATAGGGTGTCATGCAAGATGACGCACCTAGACGCTTTCAGCTTCCACTGGATTCTCTAGGAGAACCTCTCCCTCTAGATAGACGTGGATATGTGTCATCCAATTGGCCTCGAAGGATGCACAATTGACGTTATCCTCCTCTACTTTGATTCTGTTTGGCTTGAATTGGTGTCCTATGAATTCAGGGCCCATTAGTATATTCGTAGATGCAAACTTGGTGAACGTGTTTGCCATGGCGTTGTCCTCCCTGGGCAAATGTTGAATTTGGAAATAGTCGAACTTTTTCAATAAAAGCTTGGACCACTGACAGGTATTCTTGTGTTCTTCCTTCCTTTGCTTCAATGTCTCCTTTTAATTGGTTGACTATCAGCTAAAATCACTATAAACCGTCAGACAGAGGGCCTCTATCTTAATTAAAAGCTTTAAGCGTGATATGAAGGCCTCGTATTCTGCCTGATTTTTTGATACCGAAAAATGGAGAAAGACAACGTATTTGAGTGGAGTGTCATGGGGACTGATAAGAACAGCGTATTTGAGTGGAGTGTCATGGGGACTGATAAGAACCAACCTTGCTCCATCGCCTTCATTAGTAGAGGATTCATCTACGTATAGCTTCCAGCATGCTCCTACGCCAATGGGAGACGTCCACTTAGACGTGACAATGCGCTCAAACAAGGGCTCTATAGGTTGAGGTATGGGCGACGGCGGTGTTGAAGATATCAAAGGAATAGATATTAGGGAACTAGGCGCCTCTAGCCTAGAATTTGGATTCCAGGGGCCTAAGAGGCCGGCTCCAAGGCGCCAAGCTCTCTGGGGAGGCATTTGGGCTTACCTTATAGAGAGTTGAGGCACTGGGTACTAGCCAGGTGAGCGTAGGGACGCAAAGCACTCTTTCCTGGGAATTTTCTTCATCTAGTGGTGTAGATTTGACCACAAAATCCATAATTGCTTGCACTTTTATGGCCTCCCTATGCTGGTACTATACATCGAACTCGTTCAATTCGATGGCCCATTAGAGGAGTTGGCCGAACAGATTTGGCTTTCTCAAGATTCCTT